AACATGGAAAGAACACTTAAGATATAACAGCTTCTTTTCCTTTGTTTACACGGCTACAAAAATTGACCCCTGAAAGATGCCTTTCAAACCTACGTTCATTGTCTAAGCTCTGTCACAAATTCATCCACATATGGAATTGTCATATTCATCAAGTCATAAATTAGGTTTTCTATTTTAACTGCACTGTTAACCAAAAAAAGGCTGAGCGAATACAAAAGCTCAATGCATACGTTTAAGCACTTAAACTGCAATTTATAGCCTTAGCTAGTCACCGTTCAAGCTTAACTAAACTTTGGTAGATGTTTGAATGCATACATAGGTTAATATTTTTAACCACTTAAACCACAATTTACAGCCCCAAAGGGCCAAACCAATCACAAATCAAGCTTTAACTGCTGAAACTTGTTGATGGATTGTGACAACGACAATTTGAATGCGTCTCCAAATACCCTGAATTTAACCCTTATGTTAAAACGATCGCCCGGGCCTCACTTCAAATTCGCAGCAAATTCCAGACTGTATATGTAGAAAAAAGTTCAAGAGTACCTGCTTTATTTTTTTTAATTATGTTTATTTTAGTTTTGTATTTTGCTTTTATGCATGCAACATTCCAACTATATTATATATGGATCAGATCTCATTGACTTTTATTTATCATCCATCTCTTGCACGAGAGCATGTGACAGAAATAGGAAATTAGTACAATTTTAAGGTTGGTGGTGGTGTAGGAATCTAATTCCCCTATCTAATCAATCTTTGCAGAATATTTCTTCAACTCATATCATGCAGAAAAAGCAGTGGTACTCACTGTAACAGTTATGCAAAGGAAAGCTTATAGCGTTGCAGCTTTTGCCTCCATTACTTGTTCACTTGCTGTCACCTCTTCCTCCCACATTTACCCATTAAAATTACATGGGGTTTTGTAATTTCTTATTTTAATTTGTATAATAATTATGCTTATCATGTCCTTATTTTTTTGCAAATTATATAATATGGGTTTTGTCAGAAGGAGAGGGATTTGAGAACCAGTAAATCTGAGATTAATAAGCAGACAAATCCCAACCTTGATCTGCTAACGTGCTTTAGCTTTTTCGGCTTAAAGATAGTGGTCCAATATATTCTGCATTGCAATCTACATGGCTTCCTAATTTTGATTAAAGTTGACGTAAGATTAGACGCAGCAAATCCCAACATGAACAGTAATCAAGCGTGAAAAGTTTTTTTCTTTTAAGTTTTTGGAGTCCGATTTGGCCCGACGATACATTTTTAAAAAACAGAACGATGAGACGATTCAAACTCATCGCATTGTCATGATGTATGATGGATTTCCGGCATTTGAGGATGTTTGGAGGGTCAAAACAAATGTTAATTCATTTCTAGTTGTTTTGTTATTTTCGGATATTAAGTTATTTCTTGTTTATTCCCTTTTGTTGTTAGGGTTTTGTGAAACTATTTAAGTGTCCTAAGGGTTGTGTTTTGGTTTATCTTTTCATTCAAAAAAATTTAGAAAACAAGAGTTTCTTCAGTATTTCTGGTATTCCAGATTTTTGCAATAATGACCATTCGAAATTCCTTAACACATGTATGTTCCTGCTCTATGTAAGAGTTATGTTTATCTTCTTCTTTTCTAAGGAGTCTTTTTGTATTTTCTTCTGCATGTTGCATTTTTAATGGAATTCCAATTGACCAAAAAAAAAAAATGAAATTCCTTGACGCACAACTTCTGCTTTGTCAAAATTGAATGTGGAGTGGTGCAAATGAATGTATTTGCCTAGTTTTAGGGCCACAAATTTGGGGCACCATCTGGTCTTACAAGAGCTACTTGAGGAACTAGGGGTTTTTCAACAAGCCTAGCAGATAACTGCTCTGTTCATAGGCTCATACCTTGAAACGGCCCATTAGCTTTAAAGTCCAATAAGAAACTTTCGTTGGTGTTGGATGTGCTGAAACGTAATGTACTTGGTAGAGAAATATTAAGAAAACTTTTTCAAAAGTGGAACTTTCTACGAATTCTCTTTCATCTCATGTTTTTTGCATGAGAATTAACGTTAAACTGTAAGATGACAGATGGTTCATAAAAAGTCATGATTTTAAGAGTTTCTTTAACATTTCTCTAGTGCAGTAATGTAACTACACGAAACAACACGAATAACAAGAAAACAATGTCATAATCATGACTTATCAACACAGTTGAACAATGACACAACAACAATCTAACGATCTTGATCTCAACATATAATAGTGGGAGTAAAGATGAAAAGGAAACGGGTTTGGTATGTTATTAGTCATTAACAAACTAGGCCAAGGATTCAATTCCCTCCATCCACTACAACAAAATGAGAAGGAAAAAATCATTTGGGGTTGAGTGCCTTTTTGTTTTAAGAATCATGATGAACATAATAACCCCTTAATGAGAGATGTCTTTGTTTGGAATGTATGTGCATTCCCCTCTCAATTGTTTTATTGTGCAAGTAATGCATGATCAATTAATGTGAGAGACAAATATTTTACGACCATCACATACAAGGATCTATGCCTCTTAGCGAAATGATAGAAATATTTAAATTAACAAGACTAGCATTAATCACCTAACATGTTCGGAATTGTTTCTAGAATCGATAAAAGTGTTTTCTTCTAAACAAAAGCACTTTGACAAAAACTTGAAAGTGCTTTAGGGTACATAGGAGCAATTTATGCTTATTTGCACTTTCAATTGAATTTCTAGGAATAATTGAATTTTTTTTATATTTTTTATATTCATCTATTAAAGCACTTCTAAGAACGCTCATGAGCAGAATTACAAGTGTGTTTGGAAGTCCTTTTAAAATAATTGAAAGTGTTTTTTATTAAAGTGTTTTTTAAACCAATCATTAATAAAAATGCAAATGAATCTTGGAAGAGCACTTAAAGTGCTCTTTGGAAGAAAGAAGCACATAACCGGTGCTTTTTCCAAAATGCACTAATGCTTTTGGCACCCAAAAAGACTTTCACCAAAAACGTTTCCCTTCAATTTATATACATGTAGCCAGTTCTAAACCAACCTATTGCATATTTGCACAAACCTTTTGGTATCCAAAAACACTTTCATTCAATTGGGTTTTTATCACAAAATGGTCCTTGAGATAGACCAAACTCTTCATTTTCGTCCCTCACTTTCAAAATCAATAAATGTCGTCCCTGACATTCACTACCTCAAATCAATTTGGTCCTTCCGTTAAGATTCCATCAACTATTCTGTTAGTTTGTATGTGAGACCCACAAATCCAATCAAATGGTGACACGTGGATTACACAAAATAAGGTTTTTATCTCAAATAGTCCCTGACATTGATCCAACTCCTCATATTGGTTCCTGAGTTTCAAAAATTGATAAATTTGGTCCCTAAATTTCACTACCGTACATCAATTTATGCCCTTCTCTAATGTGGTCCCACCAATCCAATTATATGGCTCAAAGTGGATTGACTAAGATTCTAAAAGATGCTAGGCGTTAATCAGGTGGCGGGCTGGGGCCTAGCACCTAGGCGGCTAGATGGGTGTCTAACTAGATGTATTTAAGTAAATCTGTTATATTTTGTGTAAATAAGTGTCTATTTATACTTAAAATATATATCTGCTTACATCATAAATTACAGAATAGAATGATATATATATTATAAAGTATTGAAACATAATGAAAACATAAGGACACAAGTATATAATGTGTGTTATTCAAAAAAATAATGCAAAATAAAAGTTATCTATTTTATGTCTAAGTAAGTCGCAACCTAAGCGGATGTTTAGGTGGGTCTGGATAGGCTAGGCGCCCTTTCTAAATTTTCAAACGCCTAGGCATTAATCGGGACGGCTCTAGGTGAGGATTTTTAGAACAGTGAGATTAACTATAAGAAACTATTTTTTTAAGAGAACCAAAAGAAGAGTATTCTGCACTAGCATTTTTCTCACATCCCACAACCCTAATTGGAAAAAAAAAATCAATCTAAATTCGATAAAATTGAATCTAAATTCAATTCAAATTTGATAGCATTTAGGATTATAACCAACTAGAGAGAATGAGGAGTGGGTTCAAGAGGCCAAGTGCTTTAGCGGTGTCATGGTGCCTTCCTTTTCCTTTTGAGCATACCCTGATGAAAACGACGACTTTTTTTTTCTTTTAGTTTTGATTTTTAGTTTCTTAGTTTACTTTTAGTTTTAAATCTTAAAAAAAAATAGTTTCTTATAGTTAATTTATGTGGTGTCATATAATTGGATTAGTGGGACAAAAAGTATTAACAAAACTTTAACTGAAGGATTAAATTGATGTGCGGTATTGAAAGTCAGGGATCAAATTTATCAATTTTTGAAACTTAGGGACCAAAATGAGGAGTTGGATCAATGTCAAGGACCATTTGCGATAAAAAACCCTTATCTTGTATAATCCATGTGTCATCATTTCATTGGATTTGTGAATCCCACATACAAACTAACAGAATAGTTGACGAAATCTTAAAGGAATAACCAAATTGATATGTGGTAGTGAATGTCAGGGACAACATTGATTGATTTTGAAAGTAAAAAATCAAAATGATAAGTTTGATCAATCTCAACTACCATTTGTGATAAAAATCCCATTCAATTTATATGCATGTAACCAGTTCTAACCCAACCAATATGAATTTCAGTCGTGTTTGAATTAAAAACCTTTTCAGAAGCCCAAAGTTGAAGTCAAAGCCCAATATCACAAAACGCCGTCGTCGTTGAGACGAAATTCAACAATGAAAAGGACCAAAGAGAAATTTCCAACGACCAACGAGTTTACCAAAAGGCCCAATCAGATAACGCAACGAAACCGCCACCATCACCACCGTCCACTATACTCAAATCCAACGGCCCTAATTAAACCGAACATTCTCGACACCCTCCCACCAAAATTCGTAAGTTCCCGATACGAACATTCTAGACAAGCCCTCCGTCCGTCCTACTATATAAACACCCATTCACCACTCTTACTTCACCACCTGTGACTCCAAAAACCTTATCACCTCAAAAATATCTCAAAAGCTCTTCAATTTTCTCTGCGGTTCTTTGCTTGTTTGATTGATTCTCTGCGGTTGCAATGGCTGGAAAGGGAGAAGGTCCGGCGATCGGGATCGATCTCGGAACGACTTACTCGTGCGTCGGTGTTTGGCAGCACGACCGCGTGGAGATCATCGCCAACGATCAGGGCAACAGGACGACGCCGTCTTATGTGGCTTTTACTGACACCGAGAGGTTGATCGGCGATGCGGCCAAGAACCAGGTCGCGATGAACCCCGTCAACACCGTCTTTGGTAAGAATCGAAGTCCTTTCTTTACTTGCGAATTTTTAAATGTTATGATCTCTTTTTGCTTTGCATGTTAGGGTTTTTACTTCAATTTTGCTGTGTACTGCTTGATCTCTGCTTCAATGGCTGATTTTATTAATTTCACTGGCAAAATTTGCCGCTTGTCTAAATTTTGCTGTTTTTAGATTTCTATTACTTGAATTTATGAGAAGAAATGAAGGAAAGTTTATTTTCTTTAGAATTATTATCTTTTTGTATGATACCATACGGCGCACCATTCTTGTTTCGGCACAAATCTCTTCATGTTATGGTTGTTTAATTTGTGTGCCTTTAATCTTTTATATAGCGAATTAAAGAAAAGATGGATTTTTAATGTAAAAAGAAAATAAAAGAATAATCTTTATTGTTATTTTCAGGATTTGTTTAGTTAATACTAGTAGACTATTAAATATTGTCATTGGTGGTCAGGGCTTTGTATTTTAGTTACTGTGTTCAAAATTTTACTTGGGTTTGTTTAATTGTTTATTCTGATTAGCCTTAATAATTTTAGCTTGATATTATACTTTGTTTCGTGTTGTGCATTTTTAATGAATTAGTGTTACTAAGCGAGCTTTGTTAATTTTTCAGATGCCAAGCGGTTGATTGGTAGGAGATTCTCTGACCCTTCTGTCCAGAGTGACATGAAGCTCTGGCCTTTCAAGGTCATTCCAGGACCCGGTGACAAGCCCATGATTGTTGTCACATACAAGGGCGAAGAAAAGCAGTTCGCTGCTGAAGAAATTTCCTCCATGGTTCTCATTAAGATGCGTGAGATTGCGGAGGCCTATCTGGGTTCATCTGTGAAGAATGCCGTTGTTACTGTTCCGGCATACTTCAATGACTCTCAGCGTCAGGCTACCAAGGATGCCGGGGTCATTGCCGGCCTTAACGTGATGCGTATTATCAATGAGCCCACTGCTGCCGCTATTGCATATGGTCTTGACAAGAAGGCAACCAGTGTTGGTGAAAAAAATGTGTTGATTTTCGATCTTGGTGGAGGCACTTTTGATGTCTCTCTTCTCACCATTGAGGAGGGTATCTTTGAAGTGAAGGCAACTGCTGGAGACACCCACTTGGGAGGAGAAGATTTCGACAACAGAATGGTGAACCATTTTGTTCAAGAGTTCAAGAGGAAGCACAAGAAGGACATCACTGGAAACCCAAGAGCTCTTAGGAGGTTGAGAACTGCTTGTGAGAGGGCCAAGAGGACTCTCTCATCCACTGCTCAGACCACCATAGAGATTGATTCTTTGTACGAGGGTGTCGACTTCTACACGACCATTACCCGTGCTAGGTTCGAAGAGCTTAACATGGATCTCTTCAGGAAATGCATGGAGCCAGTTGAGAAGTGCTTAAGAGACGCAAAGATGGACAAGAGCTCTGTCCATGATGTTGTGCTTGTGGGCGGTTCTACTAGGATTCCGAAGGTGCAGCAGTTGTTGCAGGACTTCTTCAATGGAAAGGAGCTCTGCAAGAGTATCAACCCAGATGAGGCCGTTGCTTATGGTGCCTCTGTGCAGGCTGCGATCCTGAGTGGCGAGGGTAACGAGAAGGTTCAGGATTTGTTGCTTCTTGATGTCACTCCTCTGTCTCTCGGTTTGGAGACCGCTGGAGGTGTGATGACTGTTTTGATTCCGAGGAACACTACCATTCCAACCAAGAAGGAGCAAATCTTCTCTACCTACTCGGACAATCAGCCTGGTGTCTTGATCCAAGTATACGAGGGTGAAAGGACAAGAACCCGTGATAACAACTTGTTGGGCAAATTCGAGCTTTCCGGCATTCCTCCTGCTCCAAGGGGCGTTCCACAAATCACCGTCTGCTTTGACATTGATGCCAATGGTATTTTGAATGTCTCTGCCGAGGACAAGACTACAGGGCAGAAGAACAAGATTACCATCACCAATGACAAAGGAAGATTGTCCAAGGAGGAAATAGAGAAGATGGTTCAAGAGGCTGAGAAGTACAAGTCGGAAGATGAGGAGCATAAGAAGAAAGTGGACGCCAAGAATGCTCTGGAGAACTACGCCTACAACATGAGGAACACGATTAAGGATGACAAGATTGCCTCCAAGCTCGATGCAGCTGACAAGAAAAAGATAGAGGATACGATTGACCAGGCCATTCAGTGGCTTGACGGAAACCAGCTTGCTGAGGCTGACGAGTTTGAGGACAAGATGAAGGAGCTTGAGGGCATCTGCAACCCGATCATTGCCAAGATGTACCAAGGTGCTGGTGGTCCTGATGTCGGTGGCGGCATGGATGATGATGTTCCTCCTGCTGGTGGCAGCGGTGCTGGTCCCAAGATTGAAGAAGTCGATTAAGCTGGTTTTTGTCGATCCAAGTTGTGTGTTTTGAAGAAAGCGGTGGAGGTGAAGCTAGTTAAAGTGTTGTTTTGTTTGTAGTAGTATGATTTGGGATTCAAGTTAAAAATCCAAGATCTCGGAAGTTTGGTGATCTTGGTCGTTTTGTTGAACATCGGATTGCTGTATTTGGCCAATGAAGCCTATTTTCTTTCTAATTTCTCTCATGGTTATATTGGTTGTCATGAGTTTCATCTGTTCGCTTCACTTTTGACTCCAGCTCGTACATTCACCGGGCGCCCGCTACAAGTTTATTCTGTTTCCCGGCGAGATAAGTCGGTCGCAGAACTCCTCGAACTATAGGATTCATTAGAGAAACAAGTAATGCATAAATGATTTGGAACAGCCGAGAAATCTTTCTGCTATGCGTAGAAACATGTTTATGCTAAACCACTGTGGCCTGAAACCTGCCTTGCAGCCTCCTCTTCCATTTCCACAAGTTGACAGCAGAACGTTTCAACGCCGCGCGCGCCTCTTCCTTCAAAGATGTATGCATCCTTCCATGATAACGGTATACAACTGAGTTCAGAATGTTTCATGGTCCGACCTTGCTCTTGTCAAAAAATTACAAGTTAATAAAAGATAGTCTACCTTTGCATTAGTATTTCAACTAAGCATGGCTGAAAAGGAAGAGTTTTGAGGAGAATGGGTTACCTTCCTTTAGCAGCAGCTGTGATGGTATTGAGTTGCCCTTGCCAGTTGGAAGACAGCATACTCTGCAATTGTTTCTAGGTCATGAGATTCTTGTGCCAACAAAACCATGAAAAGTAAAATGGATTGAGAAAAACAGAGGGGATATCAATACCTTGCATTTCTCGGAAAATGTCGAGATGGTTGCCTTGTTGGCCTTCAGGCTTCAAGGGTTCCGCAGTTTGTTCCCTAGAATTCGATTTGGTTTATTTTGCCTTTTGAAACTTGAAAGTTGAAACTCATATCATTTACTTTATAAAATTTAGCAGAAAAATTTAACCTTTTTAGTATTACCCTTCTATAAAATTCAAAATTCACTTGACATTGTTTTAGGTTTGTTAATTTTTTATATGAGTTTGATTTGGATCACTCAGGCTAATCAATTCCTTTTATTTTATATATTTTTCTTTTAAATTTAATATTTTAATTATAAAATATTGACACATAATGGAGATTTATTATACAATAGCATAATTTTATTGAGTGTGTTGTCTTATGTTTCACGAAGTGACTTGTAAGTTTTAGAGAAAAGAAAAATTATACGAGTTAAATGAAACAAATTTTGAATTTCAAAACTTTACAAGAGTAAAATGAAATCAAATAGAATTCTAGGAGCCCTAGCTAAAAAGTAGGGCTGAGATTTTCATTCCGGCTAGACGACGACATCCGAAAACGCTTTAAAAAGGGGAAACGTATCTCAGCCGTCGAATTCGTACGTCGCACTCCTCCGCAAGTAAAAGCCAAAAGCTGATTGGAGAAGCCCAAGTACCAGTAGGATCTCCGAACTCCATCTCCTCGGTCTCCGGCCAATAAGATCGGGCCATGGCTTCGGAGATATTCGAGCGTGACCGGCACTTGACGTTTCTGCAGATGATGTACCAGCTCCTGCCCTCCCCCTACCAGTCCCAAGAAATCAACCGCCTCACTCTCGCCTACTTCGTCATCTCCGGCCTCGACCTCCTCGCCGCCCCCGATCTCCTCGTACGTCGACGTTTAGTCAATTTTCCTTGTTGAAGTTCCAATTTTAAATAAATGATTGAGAAAGTTGCGATCTTTGATTTGGTAGCTTGACAAGGAAGCAGTTGCCAATTGGGTTCTGTCACTGCAAGCTCACCCGAGAAGCAAATCCGAATTGAACAATGGTAAATGGGAAAATTTGATTTTGAGTTAGAATTCGGTAGGATCGATTCGAATTGCATTGAATTTTCTTTCGTTTAAGTGTGAATTCTAGTTTAAATCAATAAAAATTTGATCTTTTGATTTGTTGTAGGACAATTTTATGGTTTTTATGGTTCCAGAGCTGCTCAATTTCTCAAGAGGTTAATGACAATGGGGTATGAGGCAACGAACTAGTTTATGTATTGTATTAGCTGAACTGTATTTTGGGTTTTAACCGGTTCCGGTAATTTAAGCATATATGATTTACTTTCTCCTGTTTCCTGTTAGTAATTGTTTAGTATGATCTTCGTGTAGGCTTTGAGTTGCAGTGTCAGTAACTTAGCCAGCACGTATTGTGCCGTGGCTATACTTAAAATCATCGGCTATGACTTGTCCAGTATTGACTCCGAGTCGATACTGATGTCAATGAGAAATCTTCAACAGCCTGATGGAAGGTATTGTGGTTTACATGAAAACTTACAGCCATTTCTTAGGGGATATTATGAGGTAGCTGGACCAATTTCCTGATATTTTCGACTGATTTTGGCAGTTTTATGCCTATACATACAGGGGCCGAGACTGATCTTAGATTCATCTATTGTGCTGGTAAGATGGTGAAACCTTTTATTTACGTACCTTTTATGCCGTTTAATTCAATATACTTGAAAATGTAGCATCAATTTAGCTGATTGATGTACCAGCGGCTATTTGTCATATGTTGGGAAATTGGAGTGGCATGGACAAGGAGAAAGCCAAGGAGTACATATTAAATTGCCAGGTCTGTATGGCAAATGAAATTATCCTTGCAGAATTATATTTTCCATTTGATCAGTAAATCTCCAAATTCTAGACATCACTGCATGGATATATAACCATATTTTGTAAACCAAATGGTATGGACGTTGATGATTGGATTATTACTTAAATGTTGATTAACGTGCTTATTTCCTATGAGACACATCATTTTGTTTTGCAAATTTAGTTTAGAAATTTGGTCTCCCTAGCATTACCCATATTACTTATACAGAAGTGACCTTGTTCTTTCAGTCATACGACGGAGGTTTTGGGTTGACTCCTGGTTCAGAATCTCATGGTGAGTTCTTTTTACAGTCAATGTGATCCATTTTGTAAGAATGTGTTAGTTGTACTTATTTAACAATCATGAAGTGTCCCAATTTTTTTCCGATTTCCTGACCGGTTGCGTGCTTGTTAATATTTTATTGTATTTTGTATTTTCTTTTCGGTACAAAAAAGTTTAGGGGGAGGGAAGGAGGCTACCCCATCCATACCAGTTGCTTGTTTGTTAATATATCACTCGGTTTTTATTTTGTATTTACTAAAGAGGAAAAAAGTGTAATTTCTTCTTGCACTGGCTCATATGTTGTAAATTCAAAAGGTTTGAAATTCTTTTTCTCCAATGATACAATATCCACTTTGGTGACACAGGCGGTGCAACATATTGTGGTGTTATATCTCTCAGGTTAATGGGATTCATTGAAGATGATATTCTCTCTAAAGATACAGAGTCTTCCATAATAAATGTGCCATTGCTGCTGGATTGGTGCTTGCAGGTTTATTTCCTCACCTAATCTCTTCAAGCATGACCAGTTCCCGAACTTTGCATCTGAAACAATGGTCCCAAACTTTGCATTCTGATAAGCAATTTTAGGTTCTCATCCCATAATAAAGATTTCTCTCATTTTTTTTGTACGACTGCAGCGGCAGGCAGCTGATGGTGGATTTCAGGGTAGACCCAACAAGCATAGTGATACATGTTACGCGTTCTGGTAGGTGGACAAACGTCCTTTGGCAGTTTCACACCGTGTTTGAAATTTCATACCTTGACAATGGACATTTGCTTGTGCAGGATTGCATCAGTTTTGAAGGTTTTAGGGGGCCACAAATTCATTGACAAGAAAGCCTTACATGGTTTTTTGCTGGCTTGTCAGTCCGAGGTGCCTTACCTCTTCTTTCCTCATATTAACGTATGATACGATAGGGGAGAATGTGAAGTTTCCTTCAGATTTGTCATGGAAAATCTGTTATTACTTCGGTCATGCATGCAAATTTATGATTTTATTTGATTAACCTCCATAAACATAGATCCTTTGGCTATGATGATAGAAACTAGGAACACATTTGGATATAAGTGCAAGTCCTTGTTCTTAGGAAAAAGAACGGACCAATAAAGTGCAGATAGTATAAATTTCTTTGTGCTTAATTTCTTCGGCAACAGCATCTTTTGTAAACCTGAGGAATGCCAGTATTGCTCCTGACTCCTGACTTCGATGTTTTGTCTTTGTGCTTTCATCAGTACGGTGGTTTCAGCAAGTTTCCGGGGGATTATCCAGATCTCTATCACTCCTACTACGGGTTCACCGCATTCAGCCTCTTGGAAGAACCCGGCCTGAAACCACTCTCTGTTGAGCTGGGAATGTCTGCCATTGCTGCCATTGGAATCTGAGCTGATAATTTTTCATGTACGTTGGCTCTGTATTTGTTTATTTATTTTTGGGTGCTTTTCCATGTATTCATTCGTGTTCTTCATAAATATAATTAAATTTCCCCCCATTCATTATACTGCAGGTTCTCTACAAATCAATGTTTTAAAAGGTGAAGGCGTAGGCGGGCATTTTATGGATAGCCCCGCCTATGCGAAAGTCTTGAGGCATGAGGCAAAGCCTTTTGGAACTAAATTTTTAGTATATATTGTATATTGTATATAATATAAAACTTTGTGAAACAAATTAATCAACAATCATGCGAGCAATCAAACTGAGTAGTATTAAAATTAGAATACTGAAACCTACTTAAATTTTGAAACAAATTGTGATGGTGTGAATAATTTTGAAACAGATTGAGGGATGAGATTGGGGTAAAATTGAAATATGGCATGGGGAGAATTTAGGATTTGAGGAATTGGGAAATTGGGAAATTGGGGATTGAATTGGGGAATTGGGGATTGGGTGAAGACTTAGCCTAAACGGGTCTTTTTGGGCCAAAGTCCGAAAAAAAAAAAAAAAAAAAAAAACTATCTTTTTTCTTCTTTGTGAAAACGTCATCGCAACACAACATTGAGCCATCCCAACCTTCAACTTCGAGGGTCCTAGAAAATTTCAAGCAAGAATTCGAATCGATGAAGAGATCTGGGAACGCCCAGCAAAACGCCTTAGGCACGCCCCAACCACGTCTAGGTGAGTTTAAGTCTTTTTCCATTGATAGAGGCATTTCCATCACCACCACCACCTCACCTCCAACGGCGCCTAGGTGCATTTTTAAGGATAGTGCTATCCACATACTTATTTTTACC